ATTGTTATTTTTCTTTGTATTATGTATTATTATTTATTAGTTAATTGACTTTAAGGAGGGGGCTGTGAAAGAGAAGACAACCACATGGTTCATACTGACGCTGACTGGATAAATTATGGGCAAGGCGAGGTTTAGTTATACTGGTTTGTACTTTAGGTGTAAAAACCGTTCCATTAATGAGATTTCATTGTATGTCGCCAAGAATCTTCATAACACTTACAATATTTGGCTTGGAATATTACTTACTAATACTACTAAAGTAACGTCCCTAAGCCCCTTCCACAGGACCAATCACTTCCCGACGTGCACTGTTTTTGCCCGCTGTTCGTCAAATTGACGGGCAAACAGTGCCAGTGCCAAATCACAAGGTGATGGTCTGCCATGCAGTTTTACCCCGTACTACCGGCTATGGACGAACGACCCTGCGAGACACTTCCGTCTATTTCAAGCACAACGTGGTGGGCATTATGAAGTTTTGTTGGCTATACGGTGATTGGGCCAGACAGGGATGTAGTTCTATGGGCATTTTTTTTTTTTTTTTTTTTAATAAATAAAACTTCTAAATCTGCGTTTAAACAAGGCTTTATGCTGGAACAAAAAAAGCCTAAAAAGAAATTGAGAGCATCATTTTCTTTGCTGTCAAAAGAAGATAGCAACTATTACAGGGTAAAATATAGGTTGCGATTTGAGAACTTAAACAAGGCAAGAAAGATTCCCTACATTATGCCTCAGTCTCAATCCCCCCCCCCCCTCCCAACAACGAGCAAGGGATTGTGGGGGTAACCATTATATTAAAGCACAGCAAACTGCCTTATTCTCTGGTTAATTAACCTCTACCCATTTGGGTGTCATTGCTAATTGAGAAATATCTTGTAAATGGAAATTCGACTATGGACAAGAACTCCAAGATACAGGACTGTTGTTGTTTGTTGTCAGTTACTATGAATTTTATTATTATTATTATTATTATTAATAGGGCTTAATCCGTGTGCATTAGAAATCCGAATGCTTTGGTTTAATAACAAAAGAAGAATGGACCCAAAGTAAAGTGTTTTCAGGGCAGCCCATGTATGCCATGAATTCGTTGCAGGACCTCCTTTACATATTCATGCCTGCATAGCTTGCACCCATTTTAAGTAACCGATTTGATTAAGCTAGAGTGCCTTCATCATTAAACTGTATCGAATTGCGTTTTTTTTTAAGGGGGGGGGGGGGCTCAACCCTCCATATCCCGTTACTGCAACAATGGGTTATGGGTTTAAGGCTTCCATGCACATTTTCCTAGAATATTAAGGATTCATAAAACCTTCATTGTCGTGTTACTTTTATTGCGTAGTCCTGGCTGACCCAGATCTGGCGAGTAGTGACCTCCACTAATTTTTTTAACGTCATCTATTGATAAGATCCCTGCACGTACACGGTATTGTAAGCGGTGCGGAAGGCAGTCGAGGTCTGCGTGTCCGTCCTGATATTCGTCCTCACTAGCGTAGATGAGAGAGTAATCCTGTAAAAGAAATTTGGCGAAATTAATTGTAAGGCCTTTAAGACGTATCACCATAAAAGCGATAACCTTGCCAAGTCTACTTCAAGGAGTAAAGCACTGAAAGAAGAAATACATACGCCTGTGTAGTTGTTCGAGTGTAGGTCGACTGCATGATGTTATAGTAGCTGTGCGTGATGGTGTAGTGTTCGACCGAGATGTCAGTCACGACCTTGATGTTGGACACATTGTCGACAACAGTTATGGTTGTAGGCTTTGACACGAGCTTTGTCTGGATGGCTACATCGTCGTCCACTGGCGTCTGCACAACCTACGAGAGGAGACAAGTGGATTAGTTATCAAATCTAGTCAGGAAGAGGAAACTACATTACATTCTACCGAAGATATGGAGGGTGGGGGGGGGGGGGTCAATTAGATTAATACATACCACTCTCGAAGGTAATGTGGATGTCCACAGCGAGAAATCGGTAATGGTGACGGGGACGCTGTTGTAGGCAGTGTCCGTGATGACAACGGAACGGTCGATGGTGGTGGTTTGAGTGACCGTGATTGTCAACGGTCTAACGGCAGGGGCAGCATACAAGTTGCCAGCACCAGACGCGCTTGCCGTGGCTGCTCGGTTTACAGGAATAATCTGGAAGTCAGGGTTAAGAATTTTAACTCAAGATTGCTTACTCTAAATAAAAGAAAGTCACGGTTTCTATGCATTAGTCAATAGGCCATCTTAAATTATTATTTTTTAAAATTTATAACTTACGGGAGGAGGCGGCGAGGCAAGGACTGATGCCAAGACCAGGGTGGAAATCACCAGAATTTGGGTCACAGGAAACATCTAATAGAAAATAAAGACATTAAACACATGAGAAAGTCAAAGTAATCACCCAATTAATTAGAACTCCATATACTCACGGTTTCCTCAAATACACATCAACACACAAAATTCAAAACCCAAAACCTACTTTTTATGGATATTTACACTCTTCCGACTGCCAGGCGAGCCCACACTGACTCCGTGCCTTTTCACCTGCACCTTATAGACTCTATGGTACCTTTGGCGGGGAAATAATACATGTATTTACAGGTAACAAGCTCATTGAACCTTTACGAAAGAGTCAACAGCCGTTTATAGGGTGACGTTATTAGGTACCTATTCGTCATTCAGGATTATCGATTTTGAATGACTTTTGTTTGTGTAAGTTTAGGATTAAGAGTAAATCCGATAGAAATTTAACATGTTTGAGGAAGACGATGTTAGATATCTAAAATGAGAAAAGGAAACCTACACCTGTGCCTGCACGCCTGCCTGTCTGCCTGCTTGCTTGCCTGCCTGTTTGTCTGCTTGCTTGCCTGCTTGCTTGCTTGCCTGTCTGTCTGCTTGCTTGCTTGCCTGCTTGTGTGTGTGTGTGTGTGTGTGTGTGTGTGTGTGTGTGTGTGTGTGTGTGTGTGTGTGTGTGTGTGTGTGTGTGTGTATGTGTATGTGTATGTGTGTGTGTGTATGTGTATGTGTATGTGTGTGTGTGTGAGAGAGAGAAAAGAAAAGAATTAGGGAGAAAGAGAATTAGAGTGTAGAGTGTACCAGACAGACAAAGAGTCTGGGGGACTGCATTGCTGAGTGAAAAGAGAAATAGTTAATGGAGAGGGACAGGCATTTATAGGAAATTTAGTCCCTGTAGCAGAGTATACCATCATGTTTACAAAGATTACACACGCGTGGCGAATTTCAATCAATCAACTCTAAGTGAGTGTAAGGAAATCTGAATTAAGAAATAGAGAAATATATAGTGATGCAAATTTAATTGAATCATGTCAATCACATCTCTACTATTAACACATCCTCATGTTTACCTTCTATGTGGACATGAGTATAGGGTTACATAAAATAGATTTAAAAAGTATGGTAGTTATAGGTAGAGAACAAGATCTGAATGATAGGCTGTGGACAAAAGCCCAGATGTATATTTGCATGTTAGGGTTAAAGGCAAATAGAGTAATACGACTGAAAACTGTTGAAGATCGTGTGGATATTGTCTCGCGTTTGTGCCTTCTCGTCTCTCTTCTAATATGAATTTTAAAAAGATGAAAAAAATCAATAAATAGTGAGAAATCGTGATAGAGAAAAATTGTAGTCGTACTAATATGATTGCTACTACTACTACTACTATTACTAATGATAATGCAAATAATAACAGTAATAGTAATAGTAGCAGTATTACTACTACTACAACAACTAAAGCTACTATCAATAATAACAACGACAACAATAATAATAATCCATGGACACAACAAACCGAGTCCTTTGTGCTAAGGATTGACGTCAGTGTGAATCTTAGCACAAACATCCTTCACTTGAATATTGCACCGATTGCCAAGAAAATGGATGAATTCAGCATTATTGTTCCCGGAACTTCACCTTGCGATGACATCCATGGGCTTTTGTATGTCATTGTGAAGAGATAGTGAGGAGGGGGTCTTGTATTTAATGCAAGTTTAATTAAACAAGAGAGCACTGCTGTTTCTTAAAAATAAATGTCCGTTGCGTTAGTATCAAAGGTATCTCTGTTTATTAATGTGTTCTCTCTCTTCATGAACAGGGAGAGATCTAAAGTTTTTGAAAATGTTTTGTAAACGTTGAAGAAAGGCGTATTTAATATTCATTTCCGTTCTGTTGGATTATTTTCACTCTTTAGTAGTTAAATCACGTCGCAGATTCTCTTCTAGTTCGTTAGATATATATCCATTCCTGGTGTTATTTTGTTCAGGGAAGGGGGAGCGTCAAAAGGGGAAACTTAAACATTTTATTTACCATTCTCTTTTGACCCCTTGGCATTCAGTGTAAAGGAGAACTGGGAGTTAGAAACTAGCACCATATTGAGATACAGCAAAATAAAACTATGATAATCCTATATTCTATACTAATTGGTCCTCGTTTGTGATATTTTTCCTCTCGTTTAAGATTTTAGCTGACAAAACACCACCTGTAGCTTGGCGCTGACAAACGTGGGTATTCAGTGTGAGAGAGAAAGACGGAAGTAAACGTAAGAGTAAAACGGTAAAACAAACGAGAAACGAAAAGAGAAAGTTGACTGCTGGGAAACTGACTAGGAGAAAATGTGAAAAAAAATTAAAAATATGAAAATGTGAAAAACGTTCAAATACCGAGGATCTCACTCGTCAAGCAACGAGAGTCGAGATGATATAAAGCGAGAGAGAAATAGAGCAGGAGAGGTAATGAAGGCTTAGCGAGAAACGAAAGAGATGTGACATTGTAGAGCACAGGGTATGCCTTACGACGTTATGGTCTCACTAACCGTGTTATAAGCTGCAGTAACGTGGGGGTATGAGAGCTGCTCGTAAATATACCCAGAGGTAATGGAGAAGAAGCATGTAAAGTGTCGGTCACACTAGTCCTGTTTGCTGCTCTTGCTACTGATACTGATACCAGGACTACTGCTACTGCAAATGATGATATATCTAATAATAATATTGATAATCCTGATAGTAGTAATAGTGTTACTACTACTACCACTAATAATTATAATAATGACAATAATAATAATGATAGTTGTAGTAGCCTCTCCTCCTCCTCCTCCTACTATTACTACTACTACCACTACCACTACCACCCCCCCACCACCACTACAAATTCTACCACTGCTACCACTACTACTACCATTACTACTACTACTACTACTACTATTACTACTATCCCTTTTCATAGTGAAATAAAGGAAATCGAAATAATCGGTGATTTATTATCTTATATTAGGTATAATAACACTGTAGAAATAACTAATACGTATTGCAATTGACAATAGTCTCTCTAGAATTTTAAAGATTTATCAATACAAATAAACACAAATCGCGGCGCTGAAGATACGGAGATCACTTCAGAAGTTATCCCTGGTGGACAAAGTAAGAGCCAGAGAACAATTTCAGTTACAGTAGCCTTTATTAGTTCATAATTACGTCTTTCGTACATTATTGATGCGCGCGCGCGCGTGTGTGTGTGTGCGTATGTGTGCATATATATATATATACATATGTGTGTGTGTTTGTATGTGTGTGTATATGTATATATATATTTATGTTTATGTATATATATGTGTGTGTGTGTGTGTGTGTGTGTGTGTTGTGTGTGTGTGTGTGTGTGTGTGTGTGTGTGTGTGTGTGTGTGTGTGTGTGTGTTTGTATGTATGTATATATATATATGTATATATATATATATATATATATATATATATATATATATATATATATATATGCATACATATACTGGTATATATTAATGCTCCTAAATATATGCGCGCGTATGTGTGCCTCTGAGTATTGTTTTTCCGCTTCTTTCGTACATCCATTAGTATATCAATTTCTTCCCTTTCTGTCTAAGTACATACGAATACTATGTAAGCTTGCCTGCCTCAAGAATAAACAAAAACTACATTAGCGAAATTGCTTGCTTCAAGCTTCTCAGGATGCGGGAAGCCCATCCACGGTTATCGCTGAGTACAAGATTTATATCGTTTTATATCCCTTTCATTGTCTATAATGCGTAGCCAAAAAATGAAAGTAAAATAGACTAGAAAATCAATACATAAACAAAAATCAACTAAACAAAACAAAATCGCTTTTCATTTGTTTCTCCGCTTCACCTATTTTTGTTCTGTCATCCATCTCGACTAAAAAAAAAAAAAAAAAAAAAAAAAAAAAAAAAAAAAAAAAAAAAAAAAAAACTTCTTGAAATAAAAAAAAAAATAAATAAAATAAAATAACATAAAAAACAGGCACAAAGGAAATACTAAGAACCTGGACCGTGATGGAAAAAACGATCCGTCCTTGAGCTTGAACATGGGAGGTATGGAGAGGGAGAGGCCGATGAAGTTAGTGCACTGAATTTACTCTGCTGTCATTGTCATCAATCATGACAACTTCAAGAGGTTCCTGGTGTGGGCAGAGACGAGAGAATATATATATATATTTTCTTTCTATCTGTGTATTAGTATTTTAGATGCGATGTGATGGTGTGATTAGTAAGAAGTTCCTGGTGTGGGCAGAGACAAGAGAATATATATATTTTTTCTTTCTATCTATCTGTGGTTTAGTATTTTAGATGAGATGTTGTGATTAGTAAGAAGTTCCTGGTGTGGGCAGAGACGAGAATATCTATTTTTTCTTTTGATCTATCTGTGTTTGAGTATTTTCGATGCGATATGATGTTGTCATTAGTAAGGATTGGTGATTGGGATATGGAAGGATTGATAGGTATGTTTGATTAATTTTTGGATTAGTAAGGACTGATGCATTGGAATAATGTTAATTAACTGGAATATGTAACGGAAGCCGAAATTTGGATTCGTATTGCTATTATCATTCTTATTATTACTATGATTATTATTATCATTATCATTATTGTTATTTTTACTACTATTATCATCATTATTATTATTATCATTATCATTTTTGTTAGTATTATTATCGTTATCGTAATATTAATAATAATAATAATGATAATAGTTATATTATTATTATTATTATTATTATTATTATTATTATTATTAATATCATTATTACTATTATTATTATAAGTGTCATCATTATTATTGATATCATTAATATCTTTATCATTATTATTATTACTATTATTATCATTATAATAATAATTATTATTATTATCATTATCATTATTATCATTATTATGATCATTATCATTATCATTATTATTATTACTATTACTATTATCATTATATTGCAACTGTACTTTAATAATTCCCAGTTACCCTGCTGTGACTGGCAACTGCGAACAGAGCCTGTGATGAAATCATTTGCCCAAATTACCATGACTCGTAGTTCTCATTCATGATGGTCACTCGCTGTGGTGGAACGATCATCAGCTGATATTCGTAATGGCTTGCAGGTGTGACTTTAATGCCTCGGTAACAGGTACGAGTCACGTGGAAGATTAGCTATTGCTTATTTTATATTTCCATTGTTTCAGTTTTCCT